ACCTCAGGTGATCTACCCACCTCGGCCTCCCAAAATGCTGGGATTACAGGCATGAGCCACGGTGGCTGGACTGAACTTCTTAAAATGCAAAATATAATAGGCTGGGTGCCGTGGCTCATGCCTGTAATCCCAGCATTTTGGGAGACTGAGGTGGGTGGATCGCTTGAGCCCAGGAGTTTGAGACCAGCCTGGGCAACATGGCGAGACACTGTCTCTACAAAAAAGACAAAGAAAAATACAATAGTTGACATGAAAACTCAGAACTGCTATGACAATTATAACTTCTGCCATTATTTTATCATTTTCAATACCACAAATGTAAAAATAATATTTTCATTGGGCCTCAAAACAGCCATTTTCATATAAAAAATCTAAAAGCCACAATCAAATGTGAATCAAAACCATTAATGTACAATAATGTTTGCATAGTAAAAATATGTTGTCTGCATTTGGTGTTGGTATTTATAAAGAATAGGAGCATCACACAGCCTTTTCTATATGCAAAACATGTTAAGCCAAGCATAACTTCTATTCAGAAGAGTTCAGAGTTTAAGGGAGAATAAAAATTAGTTTCTGTGACTTCATTTTTAAGCATAGTGCATGCGAAAATTAAAGAAAAGTATTTTTATATGCAACACTTTGGATATAGAAAAGCTAGTGATTTTTAGACCCTTGCCAGGATCAGTAAGGGCTTATTCCCAACAAACTGTTAATGAGCTACAGTTAAGAATATAACCTAAGGCTGGGCGCGGTGGCTCACGCCTGTAATCCCAACACTTTGGGAGGCCGAGGCAGGTGGATTACCTGAGGTCAGGAGTTCGAGACCAGCCTGACCAACATAAAGAAACCCCATCTCTACTAAAAATACAAAAAAAAGACAGAGGTGGTGGCAGGCACCTGTAATCCCAGCTACTGGGGAGGCTGAGGCAGGAGAATCACTTGAACCCAGAAGGCAGAGGTTGCAGTGAGCTGAGATCGAACCACTGCACTCCAGTCTGGGCAAGAGAGTGAGACTCTGTCTCAAAAAAAAAAAAAAAAAAAAAAAAAATTTAAAGGAAGACGAAAACAAATAAAAATTCAGCATCCAACAATGTGAAATTCACAATACTGGAATACAAGAAAAAATTACCAGGCATATAAAGAATCAGAAAAATATAACCCATAATGAAGAAAAAAAATAAATGAATGGAAACATATCCAGATATGACATAGGTAATAAGTAAAATTGGTAGAGAAAGACATTGAAACAGCAATTATAACTATGTTCCATATGTTCCAGAAAATAGAGAAAGGCATGAGCATGTTCAGAAAAGATATTAAAAAACAAAGACCCAAAACGAGACAGAAGTTTCACTCTTGTTGCCCGCTGGATGCAATGGCATTGATCTCAGCCTCACTGCAACTCCACCACCCGGGTTCAACGCCATATCTTCCTGCCTCAGTCTCCCGATAGCTGGTTAACCAGACATGTGCCACCATGCCCGGCTAATGATTTTTTCTTTCTCTTTCTTGTTTTTGTATTTTTAGTAGAGATGGGTTTCTTTATGTTGGGTCAGGCTGTCTCGAACTCCTGCCCTCAGTACCACCTGCCTCGGCCTCCCAAAGTGTTGGATTACAGGCGGAGCCACCGCGCCCAGCCTTAGGTTTATTCTTAACTGTAGCCTCATTAACAAGTTTGTTGGGATAAGC